TGGGAGCCTAGAGGAGCAGACGCGGGTGGCAGGAATGGCGGGATCCGCAGTGGGCAAAACGGAACCTCCCACCACTAGAGCAAGAAATCTGCACACTGTGCTGTGCCGCTCTCTGCCATTCTGCCGTATTAGGACGCTCCTATCTGCCTCACAGTTGCGAAAAGTCCTTTGTTGCTTGAGTTCTAGCCCCCACCTCAAAGCCTTTAGTGCATTCAAGCGTGGTTTGTCATTGGCTATGGGCTTTTATCTCGACATAGTTGCGTTTGTGACCTCAGGTTGCCAGGCTCCCATCCCACTTCTGCTTCCTTGCATTTGCTGGAGAGCCTCGCGGGGCGCCAAGGGCAAGCGACGCCAATCGCCCACGTAAAAATTTTACCCTTTGTCCAAAGGGGCTATAGCTGGCATGGTGAGGCACGGCACATTTCCCAAGGGGTTGACTTCAATGCCAACATGGCAAGGAGCCCATTGATGTGCCACGGCATTGCCATTTGCATCGTATTGTTTGCAGGCCTGGCTTGATTGCTGGGCGAATACTGGAAAAACCGCGGATTCAATTGTTTCTTTGGTACTGGGTTGTTATATCCAAAATGAAAATTTTGCTATGTACAACTATCCCCACGGGGTTTGATAGTATAGTCTTTTCAAAACCCCTTCTTCATATCTATCAATAAATGTCTTGGATTGCTTCAGCGTTGTATTTCGTACTTTTCTCATCAAGTTCTCTCTTTGCATGGATGGCACAATAGCATGGATTCCAGGAGTTCTTAGAGGAAGTGTCCCCAATGGGCATTCTTATGCACATTGCAACCTTGGGAAGGACGGAAGCATTCGCGGATACCGGCAACACTCTCATTGTCTTACATTGCTGTGAGGCACTCGCCCTCTTATGTACTACAATTAACCGCATAGGTTGTCCCCAAGTCTCACACCTATGATCCGAGTTGTATGCCAGCCAACCCCCTATGCTCAACATGACTATACTAAACTTCCATCACATGGCCCCTTATCATGTTGAATTACATGATGACTTATGTCCTAATCCCAATTCCACTTAGCGCATTCCTACATGGCACATTCTGCACCATAAATTTTCACCCCACCAGGTTTTACTAATGGCTATCTACTTTAAATAGTCCCCTCATGTTCATGGTACTTACTATGCACATGCATTACTCTATACCGTGTTTCTACCTCATTTTTCATTGCTTTAATAGGGTTTTCTGGTCATAATTTTTACACATGCCTTATTTTTATTGCACCTTTCTTTGCCTATTCCTTGACTTAAGGAGCGTTCTACACTCATGGGGTAAATGCAAAACAGCATGGTTTTCTAGTAGCACATCCCAACAAGACAATGGCGGGGCCTCTTGCCATTTTCATAACGGGACAACTGGCAACGTCAGCAGAATATAACACAGGAATGTCAGTGGTAACGGCATAGGTGGGATTGTGCATCTCTTCCAGTACATACTGGAGCTTTCCCTTTTTTACATCTTTTTTTGGTATTGGTGAAGCAGCATTAGCTCTGATAGGGAAATAAGACTGCAGATTCTACATGACGTAAGTTTGCATGGGCAAAGGGCATGTTGCTAGTCAACAATTGAATCCAACTGTACTCGTTGTTGACCACAGAATTCTGGAGAGATATGCATACTCGCAAATTAGTTTACTTGCTGGAAAGGGAACATTGAAAGTATCACCGGTACATCTGCTTGATTCATACTATGGTGTGGGTCCTTGTGAGACTGAACTTATAAGAAATGTTTGTATGCCTATTCCTTCCAGCGAAGGAGCATGTGGTGCTCATGGGATGGATGCAAACGAGCACAGTGTTGTATCATCACATCCCAACAGGACAATGGTGGCGCGTTTTGCCCCTTTCCCAACATGGGACAACAAACAACACAGGCAAACTACAAGCCAATCATGCTAGTAAGTACAGGTAAACAATTATGTTGCTTGAGATTTGCGCACATACGTTTAAGGTGTAGTTCATCAATTTTTATGCAGCGCAAGATACACCACGACTACCTAACATTCCCAAATAGAGCCATAACTATTCCATGTTGGGCGCAATGTGACATAGTGTAGGACTCTAAATTTCTTCCAGTATACCTGAGGCACAGAAGGCCCGAGTGTGGTGTAACAAACAGGCTATTTTGCTTTCGAATTGACATTCGCTGTGTGCCATATGTTGGCTCAATGAGCCACATGACACATGCATCATAATCCTCATGATTGTGTTCGTTGGTCGCACAAGACGTTGCAGACTCATGTCTGATGAGAGCTACAACAAATGTGACAATTGGCCTTGTGCTTGGCTACAAATCTGCGACATTCCGTGCTTCATGGTTGCCATCTGCATCTACGTGAGTTTCACATTGGCTAACATGTTCAGCATCGCGCACGCTGCCCTGGGGAAGCAATCGATACTTCCATCTTGTTGCAGGTCGCGGTGAACTGTGGGCCCCTGTCGGCACAAATGGTGTCTTTGGTGGATTCACCATGCTGTGAAATGTGGTCAAGAATCTCTCCTCAGTGTGCTTCTACTACCTCTGGCTGCAGAACGAGGTGCCAGACATTTTCGCGATTTGTAAGGGCTGTGGTCGTATGCGAAGGGATGCACGGGCTTGATGTATGAGGCCCACGATCATGTATGCGACGCCTGTAGGCCTTGCCATCGATGCATATGAGACTATCTCCCCAAAAGAAGGGGTCATTGCGAGCATGTAGGGCATGAGCCCAGAGATTTGTGAGCGCACAGATGCTCTGGATGCCACAGTAAGCAACACAACCCCATTGGGAAGGGTTTCGCCATTGGATCGGCAGCGCTCGTGCCTCACGTTGCTGGGATCGTTGGTCACAAGGGCGGAGATTGACTTGGCAGATGCGCCCATTCTGAACGCCCGTATGAGGAATTCAATGTTAGCTCTCTGGAAATCCGTTGTTCTGTCAGCATCCGATAGTCATGTCACGAGGGTCCACAACCCTGAAGATGTGGCGTGGGTTCCATTCCGCCGCCTTTATCTATGCTCCACGCCGCAGGGCATGCCCAGCCACAAGAGGGACTGCGTTCAGCTCCGTATTCGGGATTTGGCTGTCTCTACTGAGAGCTTCCTTGCTGCTCGCTGTGTTGGATTCAGCTCGCCTGTTGTTTGTTCCTTGCGTGGATGGCTACACTTTCTGCTTTGAATGGTACGCTGTTTGTTTCAAAGCCCTCCTCTCTGATGCTCCATGAAGCCGCAATCCCACCATATGCACGCGGAATGAAGAACATGTCAGCTGCGGTGCTGGCCGAAGTTGATTTGCCCCTTGGGGAGAGAGCCGATGGCCGTTGAAGCGCTGTGACTTTGCCGGGGGTGTTCAGTGGGCTCCTGGTGGGTGCTATGTTGTCCTGTTGGTTCAGCAGCCTCACCGTGAGGTCAGTCGGCAAAGCTGGCCTCACAATGGTCAATGAAGTTCACGTGCAATTCCCAACGATTGGCATCATGGAGGCACAGGAGAGCCCGGCTATTCCCGATGTGTCGATATATCCACCCACGCTTCCCTGAAGGCAATGGCCCCCCTCGGCGCTCTGGCCCTGCTCACGCCCATCATGGTTGGCGTCCTGTTTGGGATGCACTTGCTCGTGGGAGTCCTGGTGGGCGCACTGGCGTTGGGGGTGCAGATGGCATTGTCCATGTCTAACACGGGCGGGGCGTGGGACAACGCAAAGAAGTATCTGGAGGTGATGCTAAACATGCAATCGCACTGAAAAGCAGCGACCAAACCACACGTGCGCCATCCAGCGGCCAACTGCAGCTTGCCAAAACAGATAAATCCCTTAAAATACTTGACAACGCCATCAAGAAGAGAACCATCCAAGGCAATCTCGGCTTTTGATGGACTGCAGCCAGGCTGCCCCAAATTGAGTAGACTTTCCCGAGCAAAATCTTTCCTCCATTAGGCAATTTCTTTCGCTGCAGGCCAACGCATCCTTGGGTGCATTTATCTTCAGCACAGTTGAATGCAGCGCACCAGCAAGCTGCAATGCACACACGTTCAGACATTTCCGCACATTTGAAACCAACAGATGACCAGTAATTTTGGCGTTTCTTACCCCGCTGAAAGACTGCGCTGGAGGCAGACTTGCGTGGTAGGGTGTTGTGAATGAACATGCACGCGGGAGCGTGCGAGCATCCAAAATACATTGGAGGGAAGGGTTCTGAGGCCCACGCTGTCAGCGGTGACACGGTCGGAGGTCCCATCAATGACACATGTGGAAACTCGATCAACATTCCGGTGGAGCTCATGGCAGTGAAGCCCCTCGTGTTTGCTCCCTTCTTTTCTTCGGACGCGCTGAAGGGTGGCTTCATAGTCCACATATTCAGTTGCGAATATGTGGACTCTGTACCTACAACGGCCGCAACTCCGCTAAACACGAAGCTCTTGTGTGAATGCTGCTGTCCAGTCTGGGGGCACAGTCGCGATGCACAGGACCCCGTGGAAAACTATAATGGGGCAGTTGCAGATGGTAGACTGCGCATGCTGTCTGACATCGTCGCTCCAGCTGGTTCTGTACCTGGGTTGGCTGCCCACCGGCAGGGCGACTGGGGTGGTGGAGCCGCACAGGAGTCAACAGGGTGCACTGTGATGTGAAGGTGCTGCATCATATGCTCATGATGACAGAAAAAGTGGCTTACAGGCAATGGACGAGGATGCCCTCCAGCAATTGCTTTCTCTGGTGTGCACAAGGGTGTGCTGTGTTTTTTCGGGCGCCGAACAGGTTTTCTCAGTCGTGTTGGGCTCATCGCACATCATGTACGTCTGTTAATAATCCCTCTGGACTGTGCTCTTTGAGTTATTCCCTCGTCTTGGCCGCCAGGCGATGAGCACAATTATGGTGGGCTTGCCTGACATGACCATGCTCCTTGGTCGGCCCCTTGTAGAGCTTGCCGTGCCACATTGGGCACACATCTTTGGCTTATGGGGTCTAACGCCCGAGTTCGGGCCCTCGCAACTCACTGCACCTGTTTACGTCGACCGAGCATACAGTCTTGCCTCTCGGACACATTGGCTCCACTCTGGACAGTCTTGATTGACATTTTGCAAGGGCGACCAATACCAGATTCCAACTGTCTACTGTCAAATTCACAAGACAAAGCAATTATGTGCTGGAACCTGAGATTCTCAAAATTGTCCCATCCCCTGAGGAGGCATACAGACATGAGTGTTCGTACACACAATCCAGACTGAATATCACCGCAGCATTGGGCCCAGATGGGCCACACCTTCACAGCAGAATGAGTTGAATACTTTGTCTTGTTCATTTAGCTCATTTCCCCACATCCACTAGAGTTCGCACCACTGCCGCCCCTTGCACCTTGGAATGCATGAAACATACACACCTGAGGGAACACAGACATGGGCATTGGGACTTGCGTTAACCACCAATCACTCCAAACTGGACTGTGGCATTACTCCAATGGTGTTACCACAATGGAGATGCTGATGCTAATTTCATTCAGAACGTGCAGATGGTGGCAATGCCACATGGCATAGCTGGCCACACAGCCCACCCCACACAGCCTACCGTAATTCTGATTTGCATTCACTCACTGCAAAGCGTTGCCAACCCTGTCAGTCCTACTCCAACCACCACCAACCCTTCTTTGTGCCATTTACATTGCTTCGTTATGGAAGCACCCCTCTCAAGCAGGGCAGGACACCATTCATATTGCAACATTTCCTAGCCTCCCGACACAGCACACACAGCTGATTTGTACTGTGTCAGTCGACACTAAAGGTGGGCACCAGAGGCTTGCACAGCTGGTTTCAGGAATACAACCCCATGGCAAGCAGCCTATTGAACAAGGCGATAAGTCCTAGTCCCAATTTACATATGCGCTTTGGGGAATTCATGACCACCAGCACATTGCCCCCCACCCCATCCCCCCCACCACTGTTGTTTCAATCGGCCCCATTTATGACCACCAGATGTAGACCATACCCATCCTGGTCAGATGCGATTCCATACCAACTGACAGTAGCATCATTGAGGTAACAATAGCGGTTAGAAAGCAATCTTGTTCTTGAAGCAACTGAGCAGATGTACCACACATACATGTCACTGAAGTTGAAGCCCTTTTTCGCATGAACACCACTGCTCCAGCAAATCAAGGTGCCCACCCAAATCCTCAAACACCTGAAACTGCTTGCGGAAACCCTCCTTGGGCTGTGTGCAACTTCCAGCACTCTCCACCAAGCTGGCTCAGGTTGAGCTTCCATAAAAGCAACCGATGGCAGTTGCCGATCGAGAGATAAAAGCGAAACAGCGGACCAGAACGCCACCTGAACAGGGTAAGTACATATGTTGGATCAAGAGCTGAAGGATGCTCCTGCACAGCGAGACGATGCTGATGGACAGCGTGCTCAAGGTGCAATGTCCGAACTTCAAGCAGAAAGGCAAACAAATACGTCGTCCAAGCCACACCAACACATCACAGTAAGACAGTCTTCACCTCGATCAATCTAATTTTACCAGGAAAGACAACTTGACACAGTTTGTGCCGCTGCCAATAAAGCTGCAAACAAAATACCTTTTGACAGATGCTTTTCTTCAATGCATCAGGTTGACGTTATCCTGCATAGGGGTGGTTGTGAGCAAAACACAGACAACCGCAAGCACGCAACAAACTGAGCAGCATAGTGGTGCACACCCCCACACTTTTGTGAGGCATCCATGAACTCAAAACATTCATTGAAATGCCACAGATCAGCGGGCGCAGTATCCGAGACACTGATGTTGTGGCAAGGAAACACTCCATCATAACTTTGGGCCAGGTCATCACCAACACCAACCTGCACATCAACCCAAGAGGGACTAGCCATACACCAAACAGCAACCAACCCAAGGGCCCCTACTGTCCTTGCAAGAAAACGTGATGGAGTTTGTGGGCTTGTGATCTCTTGACAGCAGATGCAAACACACAACCTTCCCCCAGACAATGAGCAGTCTGGCCCATTTGGCTGTGTTCTCTTCAGACAGTGCTCAATCGCTATTGGGGCTGTTGCCATCTATTATTCACCAGGACCAGAGGCAGAGGGCAACCAGGGCTCGCACAAGCTCAAACCAGTTGCACACCCTCCTCAACAGTAACAACCAGTTTCGTTTGTGGGTGGCTGCCTGACAGAAATATGGGCATCTGCGCATCTCAACACACACTTTGTGGCAACCAAGCACAGTGAGCAAAACTATAAAATCACTGCACAACCCTCCACAAGAGCAACATCAGCATCAACAGGACAACAATAAGCCTGCCATGCGTGTGTGATCCCCTCCTTCTCAAGTTCAACCCTGTTTTGCTCAGCAAGAAAGGCTCCAATTAGCAGCCCTGCTTGCAGCATAGCTGCGATGTCGTCAAAAGTGTTGATGACAGCTGGCTTACGATCGTCAGAGCCAATGGTGCTGAAGGTATCGAGAGCTGCTGACCTGAAGCTGTGTTACTTCTCTCCTCAGCCAGAGCTTCACTCTCACTCAGTGACCCTATGCTATCATACGCACAATGTCTTGTGGTAACAGCCGTCTTCCCTTGGCACCTGTTTTCGTCCTACAATTCTGCCTGGCAACATTGCTCGTTTGCCCATTGACCCTGATTGGCTCTCTGGCTGGGGGTGAGGTCTGCCAGTGGCTTTTCCTCCGTTCGCGATCACCTTGCACGTAGACCAACCTGCAGACATGCCATTAATAAGCAGCAATGCAAACAAATTCCATAAGCTGCAGGGTGGTGGGTCCAATGGTTGCATTTTCATGGCCACTGGCAATCTTCAGCAGTCATCCGACACCGGGCTACTCAGCAGCACAATTCGAGTGCTGTTCCTGGCAAGAGGGGGTTTTGAGATCGTGCTTGCTGGAACTTGCAGATGGTCCAAGATGACAGGGTTGTTTCACAATCCAATGCTGGAGGCTGACGGCTCCACAAGGAGCCACCAAAGCATGTGGGACACGCCAAAAACTTTCCAGGATCCACAGGCAGAACAACAAAGGGCAGTCCATCATCCGATAGCGTACGCTCTCAGAGCACATCACGAGTTGCTTTGATGCTCATGCTATTGTCCCAGCAAGATGTGCTTCACCAGAAGGCCGCCTCCCTCGCCACGTTGAAAATCTCTCCCTCTGGAAAGGGTCGCTGATGAGGCGCCTGGCATTCTTGGTGGCCTTCTGCACACGCTTGGTGCCCTTCCTTGGCGTGGATTTCCACGTCTGCTTGAGCAGGGCCGTATGAATTACCATCCCGTCCCATTCGCTCATGCCAACGGCTGCCGCGCTCCTCCCAAGCCCTGCACCGTGCCTTCCTCCAAGCAGTTGGGCCTGCAGTGGCAACCAGCAGATCAGTGCATGTGGCATTGTGCGTGGGCCTGTCAGCATCTTGCCAACCAGTGCCCCACCAATGCTTTTAGTTCATTATTCCAAAACACTACATCTCCTTGCAATTTCCAGGTGCCTGTCCTGGCACAAGATATGCGAGCTTTGTGCCACCCACCAAGACAGTGCAGGGCCACTATCCACCCACCAAACGCGTTCTCACCCAACTGGTGGGTCAGCCCCCGAGGGGGCACTTTCGGCGCTCAGGGGGAGGGGGGGGGGGCTCCAAGATCAGGATTGAGCGCCTGGGAGCTGGGAGGGCGCGATCCACGCCGCCGCGGCGCCTTTTCCCTTGCACCCTGCCACAACTTTCGCTCTCTTGGTAGCCGCAATCTGGCCAGCGGCCGCTGCGCGGGGCGGCCTGCTGGCGCGACAAGATCCAGCCTTTCCCCTGCCCCACTCCCGGGCGCGCGGCCCTGCACGTCTGGGCCAGGGCGCCGCTGCGCCCCAGATTGGCGCGCCCTATCCACCCACCAAACGCGTTCTCACCCGGGTGGTCGGTCAGCCTCCAAGGGGACACTTTGGACACTCAGGGGCAGGCCCCAAGATCAGCATTGTGCGCCTGGGAATTGGGAATGCGCGATCCACGCCGTCGCGGGCCAGGGCGCCGCTGCGCCCCAGATTGGCGGGCCCTATCCACCCACTAAAGTGTTCTCACCCGGGTGGTCGGTCAGCCTCCAAGGGGACACTTTGGACACTCAAAAGAGCTGGGCTCCAAGATCGGCATTGAGTGCCTGGGAATTGATAATGCGCGATCCACGCCGTCGCGGCGCCCTTCCCCTTGCACCCTGCCGCATTTTTCGCTCTCTTGGTGGCCGCGATCTGGTGAGCGGCCGCTGCGCGGGGCGGCTTGCTGGCGCGACAAAATCCAGCCTTTCCCCACCCGCACTTCTGGGGGCGCGCCCCTGCACGTCTGGGCCAGGGCGCCGCTGCGTCCCAGATTGACGCGCCCTATCCACCTACCTGCGCAAAGTGCTCCTCAGCGGGGCTCCGAAGGCTGTCCTGGGCGCCTCTCCGCGCGCCCCCCCGCCGTCTTTCCGCCCCCCAAGAGGACCGCAGGCGACGGAAAGCGCTCCGGCGATGCCCAGGCGCCCCTCCGCCGCCCGTGGGGGAATCCTCAGCCGAGTGGAGACCCCGAAGGCCGCCCTCAGCGCCTCTCTCCGCGCGCCCCGCCGTCCGCGTGCCGCGCTTCGCACGCCGGGAGGACCGCAGGCGACCGTCCGCTGGCGCCCGCCAGGCCTGATTACTCATGGAGCACGGGAGCGTTGTGCCCATCAGTAATTGGCACAAGGCGCCCTTGTGCCGCCCTTGTGCCGCCTTGTGCCATCAGTGCCCAGGACTTGGCTACCTGGGAGGCCCACATTACGGGTATACCCCTTACCGTGGGCGTGTATTGGCGGATATGGCCTTCGCGACGTTTTTTTGGGCCCGACACCCGCTCTCCTCAACACCTGCTTTGTATCGTTGTAACTTGCGAAGCGCTATGTCGATTTTGTTGCACTTACCGGCAATTTGACGTTAAGCTCAGTCCCCACCCCCCCACTCTCCCTTTCTTGGCGTCAATCCTTATGTCGATTCCAGGATGACTCAGAAACATTGCCTAGCAGTGGAACACAATTTCCGCTGTTCTTGAGGTGAAAAAACACTCAGATGTGTACAAAATTTGGCGGGCTGAAGAATGGGTTTTTCAAAGCCACTATAGGCAGACGGGCAGCCTCAATGGCTGGAAATTGACACATTCTAAGGATTTCCTTATAAGACATAACATTACAGGGAGGTTTAGGAGCAAGTCACGAGTGTTTTGCTGCCGATCAGCAGTATATTTGAGGCATCTTTCCTCTTTATGTCGATTTTGTTGCGAATACATAATCTCTTAGCATCAGATGTCACGAGTATTTTCCTAGTCAATTAAACAATTCACTAATTGGCTTACGTCCTTCGTCGCTGTTGATGGGGAGGTTTGGTGCCCTTTGAATTGCGCGTTTTCTTCCAGCGGACCGCACAATTATCGATAGCATCATCCTTGGGCTTGTTTTCCGTATGTGCGTGGTCAGCCGCCCATCCCTAGGAGCGGTAGAAAGTTGGTTTCGGACACACTTTGCTGGTGCCGTCTGCAGTGTCGATACGTACTGACACAGCAATGTCGTTGCAATGGCATTAACTTACATTAATACGCCATGCAACATACGCCATATGATGTGTCCTGGAGATGCATATGTGTCGAAACCTACAGCTCCGCATGCGCAGAGACTAGCGAAGTGCTTGATCCTAATCTCCTGTTCACCATCCATCTGGTGCTATGACAATTCAGGACTCGCTTCTCCAACAAACCCTCCAATGATTGTCGCTGTACCGCGACAAACCCATCCTCTCCGGCAGGCCAGTCCCGACTTTGCGGCGTTCCCGTTAGGAATTGGCCATGCAATCTCTCAAGAGCCTTCGTCCACCTCTCACAGCCGTTCGAAATCAGTTCAACACCAAACGGCATCATCCTGCGGATTTCAATTGGATCTGTTCCAACTAGAGTTGTCCAGTTGATTCAGCTGGACAGCCAATAAATCCCAATGTATCCCGTACTCCCAAGAGCCATGCGGCAAGCCCCAGTAACAATTGGCCTGATGTGCGCCACAATGGGCCCATTTATTTCCACACACGGCTAGATCTTTTCATCTTGGCCAGGGAGCAGCATCACCGCAACGAAGTTTCGATGCAGCGAGACGTTCAAGTACGCGCTCGCGAGGCGCATTGCTCTCAACTCGCATCTGCTCCAGATGCCGGGGTCTGCTGCAGGAGAAGGAGCACCTGCATAAACACGTCGGTCATGAAGATGTGTTCCTTTTGTACATGTTGTTACTTCATCGTTCGTAAGCCATGTTCATGCCATTTCGCAATATTGTCGGTGGTTTCAGTATGAATACGAAGTAAAAAAACAATGTAAACATGTATTTAATCAGTCACATTTTGTCTGCCGGCGCAGTTTTATTCTACGTTGGCAAGCACCGTGCCGCCTGCTGACGCAGTATACCACAAAGCGCGGACATTGGCATGCCAATATTTTTAATTGGTGAACATGTTAGGAAACGGCCGCTGCATGCATCGCAGCAAGCGCGTGGCTTCCATCATCTTATATAACCTCGTGTTTTGTGTCAAGTCAATTTTTGGTCAGTTAAATTGGCTTTTCTGGCAGTGCAGTTTTGGTGAGAGACACTGTTAGGTTGTGTGTGGGAAATATGGTGAGTGGTATATTACCACGATTGTGTGAGGCACGCACCATTATGAAGCCGTTGTTGAAGCCCAGTATTGAGGCTATGCTCATCATGTTTCTCTTCTCTTTGCTGTTCGCACCACAGATCTCGTTTCAAACAGAGCAATTTGAAGCAGGCAAGCTTTCCGTCAGGGCGACATTCTCGCACTACCATGTCGAAGGTGCGCTACCATGCCGAGAAGCTTTGCGGAACCTGTGGACATTCTCGTTTATTGATAGTGTATCATCGGCGAAGAGTTTCAATGGCTTTAATTGACAATGAAGTGCGCAATATGTACGTTATTATAGTTTCTATCATCCCGTGGTTTTCGGAACGCCCTACTGCTGCTAGCCAGTGCGCGTAACAGACACTAGGAAAAAAGGTACAAATAACGCTGGTTCAAACATGTACAAAGATTACGGTTTTGGGGGTATTTCCGTCTTTTTAGAATGCAGAACACTGACGAAATGCATATATATGTGTTCGCAAAATGTGTTATTTGGTTATTTGGTTTTCGCTAATGAGAACGGCATTCAAAAACCCACGCATTGAGAGGAAAAACTTCTGTTGCTCGGCATAACATCCCATACAACACGTACGCAAATTCGAAACAGCGCCGTTGCCCACAGCGGATTGAACTATTCACGTATTGTTTGCAATCAATAAACAACACAACGCAAACTATTGTTTACAATGTTCGAGCACGTTTCCGCCGTCCCCCATTGCTCTCAGCTTTGAACACTCCTCATGCATTTTTCGCGGATTCCTACTACTCACTGGAGCATGTACTGGCAGCGATTGCGCCGCAGATAGATCTCCACTGTGTACTGCAGGCAGGTCCAGATTGCCAGTTCGATGGAGGTGAAGTAGACAGCCTCGTTGAACACTGACTGCGAGACGGTGTGTATAAAAGGGAAGCCCGCGGTATCCTTGGAAGGGCCGAATCGAATCGCAAGTGACAGAATGATGAACGACCCCTTGGCGGCGACTTCGCAGTAGGTCTTCACCAGCAGCGGCTTCAGCTTGAGCGGATCCTGAATCGAATGCACAGTTTGGTTCAATGCCTTTGGCTTTTGATGGTCACGTCATTTGTGATTCCATTCTTGGGCCTGGCAGCCCTGCTCTGCTGATCTCCCCTGGATCTGACTTCTGCCTCCCTTGCTTGATGTGCGGCATGCCATACACTGCCAGAAAACGGCAGGTTTGCGATGCCAACTGCGATGCCCTTTTGGCACAAAGTGATGCCGTCACAGTGATTGCGATGGCATAAAAGCGGCTGCGATGGCATCAATTTGTGTGAAATGGCATCGCAATTGGCATCGCAAACAGGCTGTCTTTAGCTGGTAATACTTCGCGATTGTTTGGACTGGGATTTCTGGGTGTTGTCTTTCGATTCAAGACCCTGTGAGGTACAGTGCTTAAGGGGCATTATTGATTCGTACACATCGGATGCAGTATTCGTATTTAAATTTGTTCATAAATTTCCCTTGCTGCATTCCTACGGCGGGCTTTCTCCGGCGCCCTGGCAATCGCTGCACGACTATGGCATGCGATGCGCTACGATATGTGGCAACATGTGGCGCGCATAGAATGCCTTGTTTGAAAAGACACGCTGGCCACGGCGTGGTGAGAAAATTGATGTGGTTACATTGCAGGCTCCGACACGGACGCTGGTAGTTCGTTTCGGAATACGGTTCGATCGATACCGGAGAAGCGTATCAATTCTTTCCATGGGCGAAATAAAATATTCTTTTCGGCTGTGCTGCCACGATTCGTTCTGAAAGAACACTCCCCACCTTGACCCACCGAAGGAACACGTCCAGGCCCTCCGTAAAATCATCGTCTTCTGCGCTGTTCTTGTGTCTCTTGAGCAGCACGATGTTTTTCTTCTTGGCGAACGCGATGAGGGGCCCCGATAGCAAGAGGCACCCGAAATCGGTGATGTTGAGCAGGATGAAGACGATCAACGGCCTTACTTTTTCTTCGATTCCGAGGAACACAATCATCTGCAAATGACGGCGGGCGCATCAGTCCAGTAAGCCAATGGATGAATTGGCAATTCGTGAATGGTGTGACGAAGCAGGCAATCCCGGAACTGCAGAAATCATTTGGCGCTTATAATAAAATGTAAAATGCGACGAAGCAAGCAATCCTGGAATTGCAGAACCGTTTTGGCGCCTGTCACAAAATGAACCGCACGACGCGTATCTGAACTCAGCGTATTGGTCCCACACAAACTCTTTAATTTCTCCCTCGAATTCGAATGCGAATCTGGTTGCCGCACCTGCGCTACCCTTTCTCGTTGCTGCAGCGTATTCGCGTGTTTGCCATCGAATTCCAACCAGAGCAGCTGCTTACAGCTCGAACATCATTTGCACTAAACCTTCAACTGAGCCAGTGTTTCGATTGAGGGGAACTCCTCAAAGATTCCCAGCCGTTCAAATTGCCGTAGTATATTCAACCCTCGTGAATTTTGAAATTTCGGCGCTACTCTGTTTGCTCGCACTCTTTTCCGACAAGCAGTTGTTTCGGGGGATCCGCGTCATCGCCACAGCCGCAATGGCGACTCCGCTGAGTTCGCGTGGCCCCAAAAGCAGGTTTCCCGCCACAGCGACTAATGCCTCTTGGGCCACTAGACGCCGCGAACAGTCCAGAGACCCTCGCACTGCGGCTGGGGCTGCTCCACGTGATCTTAGAACCGCTATGTCTTATCATTGCTGCGCACAAAATGGCCAAGGGTTACGTCACAATGCGCAAGTGCATAGCATAAGACGGCGGTCAGGCGCGTCACCTGGAACACAGAAGACACAAATGTAAAGAAGGCCTCCACTACTGACACCGTCTTCCTGTTGAAGGCCTCGGCAAGGCGGGCGCAGTCCGTTGTGCTTCTCATGACCAGTATGGGGTACAGCACAGAAAGGACCAACAGCGACGTGGCGTCGCGCTGCCCGAAGTTCATCACAAGAAGGCGATTTACGACAAAAACCAAAACAAGAAAGTCCATGATGATGAGGGCGTTGAGTAAGTCTTTCCTCACAGCTTTCTTCAGCTTGAGTCTGTAAGGCAGGTGCGGGTAGCTCAGAAGGAACACCTGGGGAAGACGACAACGAACAATCAAGTTGATTCGGAGCATCGTCCCATCGAACAGCGCAATGGAATGCAGCGGAATGTTGACCTAATGATGATCGGCCACTTGGAATGACGAACTTGGGGATTTTTTGCTATTTGCGAGGGTAAGAGGTATGTGCGTAAATTGTGCGGTTTTAGCTATATGCAGAACGCTCACGGATTTGAATCTCGTGGGTAACTTCAAATTATTGGACTGCATGGCATGTGAGCGGATTGCAAGCTAGCACAATGAACCAATGTAATGAGATAAACGACTGAATATATGAATCTTTCGGAACATTCTTATCTCCGTTGTGGATTAGTATACAGGGTTTACCCATGTCCTGGATATCAAATAGGATATTGGCCCTATATTCTTGACGTGCATATCCAGCATATGCCATTTTGTAGAGATGGGCGCTCCATATCCTGGATGTGAAGCCTGCATACGCTGGATATGTCAAGGGCATGTTCGAGGATGTGTGCCCTATATCTCGGGATATGTCCCCCTACATCTGGGGATATGGCCACGTCCAGGATACCTAAATCCAGAAATTTGCATCATTTCTCCGACGACTACCACGAGCAGCCATCTGCTGTTATCGCTATGGCAGGCTGAATGCCCGCTGGCGACATTCCGGAGACAGCTGACCCTTAACACTAGGAAAAAAGGGCCAAATAACACGTGTTCAAACGTGTACAAAGTTTACGGGTTTGTGTTATTTTTGTGTTCTTATCGTGTAAAACTATGATGAAATGTGTTTTATGTGTGTTTGCAAAAGTGTTATTTGGCCCTTTTTTCCTAGTGTAAGCCAACTGCTGATCGGCAGTTCGGACCGCACTTGGGCGCAATGGTACTGCGCCACACTGCTGCGATGTTACAAGATGAGGCTCCGACCCCTTCCTGCCGCATCAACCGTTGTCTGGTATGGAAAAGACGACCGCGACATTTGAGGGCTTGCGATCGCGCTTGTCAATGCCCAATACGCGTTGTTTCCTGTCCGGCTGGATGCGCAATACTGTCAAGTCGATTTCCTTTGCATCGCAATCTGCGGTAATGGAAGGCATCTGCTGCTGTGGGGGCAGCTTCAATATGTGCCAGATTTTTATAAACATTCAGTGGTTTATTTGAAAATTTAAGGAAAACGATGAATGATTCTTCTATGTCAATCAACCAATGAATGAAATGGTGGTATGACATATTAGATTAGTATGCGTTGATGTGATCTTCTTTCTTGTACCACATCATAAGATCGTATTGGCGTCCCAGTCGCTCAAGATAATAAAACCTGCAGTAAATATCTGAGAACGAATAACCCACTTTCTATACTAGCATCAATAGCAGCACGCATAAGATAATACAAAAAACGCACCAACGAAAGCTTGTGAGAATGCGTCTGTCAAGGCAATTTCAGCAGCAGCACATTCGACGTAAAGCGAATAAATGTCTAAAAAAGGCGGAAGACACTTTGCGCCCATTATTTTGAAAAACAAGGTCCCCTTCACACAGGAGGCACTTCGTTTTACTTGCGGCAGAGCGAACGCTGCGAATGTGTTTTCCAACGTTCTGGATGTTATCCGATACACCCTACACAAGACATTCAGGACAAGCAATTCGCAGGGCACAGTCCCCTCCTTACCCCGCCAGTCAGAATGAGCATGGAGCATATTGGGATGTTGTAGAAGGGAAATATGAGGGAAGTGAGGGCAAAATACACCGCCATGGACATAGCTGGCAGCAACGTGATGACCACGGCGTAGCTGAGGTAGCTCATGTGGATGCTGAAGTAGAACCCAATCCACGAGTTCACGAATACACCTGCGCAAACATGTACAGTGACGACGCCATTGAACGTGCGTCATTCGCCATACTACCTCCGTCTCATAAATCGCTTCCGATCATGAATTCTTATTATAGCTTAGCAAGATCAGCTCAGTCAAGCAATCTGCCACCATATTTGGATTGTTGGTTGACTCTACGTTTAGGTGGATCTTTACTATGCTAGTCACCACCATAAAAATTGACATTTATAACCTTTCGGAAAATGCCACTGTTCAATTAGATGCAGGTTTTTCACTCCCCGCATTGATGCCTCGGTCATATGCCGGTATGTCCCAACCCAATTCACCAAAATTGATTGAGAGCCTTGCTGTAGACAAAAACTAAACCTTTTTAACATCTTGACATCATTACTGTCATACTTTGGGGGGATTTGTCTCTTCCAGTATGCTGATTCTTGCTGCCCAATTTCTTATTTACAACAATTGGCCGCGTTTGCCTCAATCTAGGGCGTTCTCTTGGTTGGTATTAGTATGTGCAGCCTTCAAAACCTTGAAAAACCTGCAAGTTATATGCTCTTGCACTGGTCAAGGTGCTTCTTTGCCTTTGACCATCACCTGCACGCGTTTGTTGCCAATACCCCAGAATTTACAACGAGCTGCAAATAATTTCCCTTGCAAGTTCTGTTTGGGACCAAGCCGAATTTTTAGTGCACACCAGACCACCAGTGCATACATCTCTTCTAGTGACAGTTCAGATCAATCCAAGTGTAATGCAAAAATGTTGTACTTCACCTAATGTCCGAAAATTTTAAAAAGTTGCGTTTCAGCTCTTCTTGGCATATCACAAGAATGGCAGCATCACTTGGAACGTTTGAGGCCTTTAAGAATTGCTCTTGATGTGGCTCTTCGAAGTTGTTTCAGTGAATTCATTTAATTCACAGGGTTTGATCTCCGTTTGCAAATTGGAGATCGGACACGACCTATGAGACAGAAGTAGTATTTTATTGCCGAAAGTGTATTGCTGCAGCTCTACCTGCTCGGTGCGGCCAATGTTCGAATCTTGCAATGGTAACGACGGGGATGGAGCAATGTGCAGCCATACAGAATTGTTCGAAGAGGTGCAGAGGCGCAAAACGCCTTAATCGCCCTGCCAATCTGCAGTGGTTTATCTCAATGGTTGGAATTCCACCCATAGGATACCTTAGCATGCGCTGCCCGCTCTGAGCAGAGCGATTCAGTGATGGGCGCTATCCAACTTTAAGCATCCTTGTACAATACGGAGGTGAGGAACTGCGCCGCAAGCTACATAAACGAAGGCAATCTGCCGAGTTTAGAAATTAGCACAGCGCCCAGATTGAACTGTGCTCACGGAATCTCATGGTCCTTCATCTGTGACCTCGATTTGGAAACTTTTCACATGGCCCAGGTGCCAAAAACCACGGTAGCCACAAATACATCGCCTTTCTGGATCCAATAGTGCCATGTGTCATTATCGTACACAAATGACGTCGCCCCTGTTCATGCGAGCTTTTAATTGATGGTGCTTAACAGGCTCTCCTCCCACCTGTGGCGAAGCCCAGCAGAGGCATTCCCACAAAGGCATACAACTTGTGATCATCGGGCGTGGTCTCGAGGACCTTGTCTTTGAAGCTCAGGAACACCAGGCCCAAGCCAATCGCCAGCGGAAAACCCATCATCCACGCTAGCAGCTTGAAATCCACCCAGAGGGAGGTCTTCCATGGGTACACAAAGAACGGGCGCTGCTTGTTCCCCAGCAGCTTCCCTTGCACCTTGGACCACCCGCGGCTGATGCGCCGCATGTCCTGCACAGCAACTGCGACAGGATGACACCTTTGGCGCCAGGTGCAGAACCATCCTATTTGGGTCGAGGTGCTGTGCGTTGTGCAATGTTGGCGGCCAGGGCGCTGTGGTGTTGATTCTGTTGTTCAGGAATCCGCGCGGTGCTCCTTACTCTCTCAGAACCATCGCCGGCGCGCATGGCAAATATTAAAAGGAAATAGTTTCAATAGTTTCAATAGTTCTTAACTATTTCGATAGTTTTTGAAAGTTCCATGCGTACATTCTGTGTGGCATGCTGCCGTCTTCGATGGATCGCAACAGGCTTGGATTTTACGTCTACTATTTTTACGCGTGAAAACGTAAATATGATCAGTTTTTATGGCGCAAAAACCAAGCCTGGATCGCAATATGCTCCAAGAGCTCATCCCAGTTTGTCATCGACTTCATTCGTCAAAATTAAGTAACCCACTGCCTGTGCGCCCTCGGAGTAAATGAGATGGAAACAAAAGACATCCCATGGTGATGGCGATGACGACGCGACGGCGACGACCGCAAAGTGTGGTTTCAAATTCGTTGCAATATATACGATCACAAGCAGTTGGAAACTTTCTAACGAGGACTGAAAGCGCTGGCAATGAGCATGTTTACTGATGCCCGGCCATGGACGCAGCCGTTCATAGGCAAATGCAATTTTCCTCAGCGTCCAATCTGAGACCTAACGGCAAGGACGTAGACGATGATGCAGTGTGCAGTTTTGCGCACAAAAGTTCACCTGAATGAAATATCAGCGTAGCTGATTCAGGGAAATGGCAACGCGAATATTGTTTTGCTGATTTAATGGAGCTTTGGAACACTGCAACCGAGGCCTTGCGTACAAGGGATAAAGGGACAATGCGATTTTGCTTGTAGAGTCTATACTATGGAACGTTCCATGTCACATTTCCCCAAGGTAATGTTCTCCTGCCTGCTTGGGGTTCTCTGCTGAGTGCGTTGCTGGCTGTGGACCTATGCGCACTGTGTTTCTTGATGCTGAGGTCGCGGGGTTTTTGCCAAGCATTGGGAGGCCACTGTAGATCGCTAGCACGGGAACGCATTTTGATTATTTGAGCATGATATGACACATGATATGACCAACTTGGGCGATCTTGCCACGTTGCCTGTACAGATGTTATTGAATTGATTAATTAATTGATTAATTGATTTATTGTTTAATTAATTAATTAATTAATTGACTCATTCGTTCATTCTCATACCTGGTTGCCTTTCTCAGTGACTGGTTTGGTGGTGTTGAGTCTCTGCACGACAACTGCCAGTCCAGAGGACGTCCGTGATATCATGTCCATCTGGCACGTCCCACCCTTCCCGATGACCTCTTCTAGTGGTTTGTCGTCTGGCCGGCCGAAATTCATGGCCACAGCGAAACGCTTGCAGCACATGGCATCGTACCTGAACATGCCGCAGAAGCTCGTTAGTACGAGTAATTTTGAAAACGATCACTTGATGTACTTTGGTTGCATTTGAGGCCTTCTGGAAATTAAAGCTGCCTGGTCACCTTGCCAATGAGCCTTTCCTTGCCACAAATGGTTCAAATTTACAAAATTTTCACTTCCTAAATTGAAGACGAGGGGTTTCGATTTGTAACTTTATGGCTCAGACGAAACAAACGAGCCTGGATAAACTGAAGGTATAATTTGAAAAACAAGCAAGTCGGGCAGGGGGTAGCTTGGCGCAGTGACATGTTGTGCCGTCAATCATTGGATGCCTGGTGCATTGCGACTTTGAGGCACAAGCTGAATAGGGAATGTCATTGCTCCAGTGATCATTCCCTGAATGAGCATTCCTGCTTCCCACAACACACATTCACCTTCGCATCATTCCAAGTGCTGAACACCGTGTACAGGACATGTACCATGCGCATTCTGGCGCAAGCAGGTTGTATTTCCAAACCATGATGTCGTCGGAAATTCTTTCGACAGTGCTGTCTGCATGGGCAACTGGATGCGTTGTAATCGATAAAGTTCCAATGGACATGGCGATCTTCAGGTCGACTTGGATGGCTCAAACTATGGCCACATGTGATGATTACAGATTACGACCAGCAGATTCGAAAGTCGAGCAGGTGTCACGGCCAATCTTGCCATTCAAGCTTGTTATTTGCGGCGCAAATGCGGCACATTTGCGCATATTTACGAATAAGAAACCGTTGATGATTTGACGCATAAAACGGCGAAAATTACGTGAGTATTGGCGCTGTTACATAAATTCAAAACAGGCCCAGGAATTCCGGGGAATTGCAGACAGCCACGATGGGGAGGGCAGAAGGCAGACGCTGGTTCGATGACGTTGTTGTACTTTCCGAGGGCGAGGTGTATGCTGTATTGCGGTTGATCATTTTTTGCGACTTAATCGTGCAAGCTGGTTGTGTCGAGGCTCAGTACAACTGCAAAAATATGGACGCGAAACAAGGCGTTTCACTGTTTCCGCATTTTCATGAGTGAAATACAACATATGAATGGTGTCTTAAACACAAATGACAAGCCCGTTACCATTTGAAGTCGAATTGTATTCTGGTTTGTTGATGTGTGGCTGGTAAGGTACAATCAATGCCAAACATTTGAAGCATGACAATTGAATATCGTCAAGTTTTCTTCGCCTGCTTGACTGAACGGAGATATCGATTCGGGATATTTGTGGTTTTCGAGAGAGAACAGCACTCAGCGCGTTGCAGTGCGCCTGCAGAAGGGTCAACTGACTGTACTCAGATGTACTTCAATGCATAATCAGGTTTGAATTAATCGTAGCAGCTTCGTCAGCAAGTTTGTCAATGGTGAAACTCACGTGTTGTCTGGCGCGGCAGTGACGGCCACGAGCTCGTCCAAATTGCACAGGAACCTCGTGTCCTCAAGTCTCTTAACTTTTCCTTGCTCGTTCAAAAGCAGCTCCAGAACTTGGTGACTCATCACCTTGTGAGCTTCTTCCCTGCGTTGAGGCGTTGCACGCCATGAAAAACAGCAGCGGAGGGATCTCCAGACAAGGCTTGAAAGAGAAAGCTTCTGATGTTGCGTTTGAAGAATCTGAGAGAGCGCCAATCCACCGAACGCGCACTGGTGTCGATATGGCTATCAATGGACATGCAAACTCGAACATATTTCGAAATGTTTCAATGCAATATTGTAGATTGACATTCGCATTGATAACCTCTTCAGAAAATGGAGAAGATTTGGCGTGGCAGATGCAGCATCCAACCGTTCAACTGGCCTATGCATCACTTTCAATTTTGCCAACTGCGAGAGCGACAACATATAAGCTGCAGGAGGAAATCTGGCTTTTCGACTGTCATCTGTACGGCTGACACTCGAAGGACTGTTGGATTTTCTGCTAACTTCAAACGCAATATAATCCATTGAGTCTAACAGGGTATCTTCATAAAAGCATCATGAAAACAACACAATGACGATCGTCTGTTGGCAATCATCCATTGCATTTTTGTGTGTGCGCTACCCCTGGATTTCGTGACAGAGGCCAGCAATTCCACAAATGAAACTGAGAATTTGAAACAAAGAAAACAGTTGCCAATTGGAGCTCTGTAAATATATGAATTCTACCCGAAAGGATAATATCCGATGTGCCTGCAAAATGGCCTGTTACGCAAGTCATTTTTGCAATGAAATGCCATCAAAAATGAGCAAAGAAAGGTCAGAGAGACCATTAGAATACAGGGCCCACCATATTGTAAGAGAAAACAAAAAGAGGAGAATGTGCAGCAAAGTACCCAAAGTGGTGAGGACACGCTGCCAAAATTCGCCTAAACTATTGTTCAATAGTTTAGGGGTGCGATGAAGGAACCGGGGAGGTGGAAGGTTGCGCCATGCAGATGCAATGCTACCCCGCTGCCCTCCTGTGCGTCCTGTGGCCTTAAGGATTTCCGCGGCCTCTAGCATACCTCTGGGATTTGCGGTTTGAGTCTTGCCGCGACTTTGCGAAGTTCACAGGCTGGTTCTGCACCCTGGAACACGTGATTTCGCAGTCCAGACGGACTGAGAGGGGGTTGCACCATGTGCTGTGAGATTTCGGACCAAGAGGGTGTGCATGGAGGTCGAAACGCTGGTCGAACTTTAATTTTACATGGGGGTCTGTTGGGCAGTTCAGGGGGACGTTTTTGGCCAGTTTCCCAAAGAGTTTCTAAAAGTTTTCATGTGAAACCGCTTTGGAGTGGGAGAGGCGGTTGTTGCCCCTCGCTGGCAATTTAAAAGGGCTGCCCACGCCAGGGGGCAGACTGGACCCCAGACTGCAAGTCCTGGCGGCTGTAACTGTGCGATTTGCTTCCGTACTGTCTCCGGTGGCCTGCTAGTCGGTTTGAGTTGCTGAGCGGACACGACCGGCCCTCTCGTGTGGCGGATCCAGGCACCTAGACAACCGCATCGCTGATGGATGGGGGAATCGAACACCGAATCGATTCGGTGTCGCAGCAGGTGATGGACGTGGGCATGGTGATGATTGATAGCCTTGTCGGGAAAGTCTCGGGCGGGCATGTGAGCTGGCTCTCCCGGGTTTGCTCGCTGCGCTGTGCCATGAGTCATGGCGCATCACCGGATCGAATCTGGCTTCGGTGTGCATGGAATCCCCATGGGCGGGTGCCAATCATGATGGGGCGCTGTGGGGGCTGTGGTGCTCACATGTTGGTCACGGGTGGAGCACCTGTGTGCGAACCTATTCTATCGCAGAAGTGATGTGTGTCAGCGGAGATCGTGATGAGAGAAGCTGATGGCCAGCATGGCACATACGAGGCCTAAGCCAAGAATCACGTAACCGTGGTGGAGCAGATCGGTCGGGGCTGGCGCGCCCTGGTGTGGATGACCGATTGTACCTGGGTCCCACGCGACTGCTACTGCCTTACGTGAGGTGCAGGTTGTGGGGGTCGCCGAGGGGGGCGGGTGACCAGCACCGTATTGCCGTCACAATGTACTATTATGGGTACGACGGTGAATACAACGTCCCCTTAAGTACTAGAGCACAGCCAAGGGGTGCGGGGAGTACTTCGGGGTACGCCGCTGGCTCAGTGGGGCAAACGCATGGAGTATTACCAGCTACCTGCAGTACTAAGAGCGTGATAAATATTCCAAGGCAGTGGGTGGCGTCCAAGGAAGCTGTGGTGAAGCTTCCCATCAATCTCTGGACATCATGCTTGTTTATTTACCCATTTTCATGAGCATGGTGCGACAATGATCTATCGGCGCAAATGCACTTCTATCATTTAAAATCTGAAGTTGTAGATATCGTTGCCCAACACCCAGCGGCCACTCCAAGATATAGTCAAACCACATCAATTGTAATGGCGTTTCAAGTGGGGTTCCCATTCAACGTACAACGAATATTCAATGCAGTTCTGTGGGCAGGTTTTACAAGTCAAATGCCGTTGGAATCTGTGGGAAATGGCTCATGCTGCTACAAATGTAAGTTGTCTCTGGGTGCTAGAACCCCGCGCGGTCTGCTGTATATATAATATATACAATAATGCAATATATGCAATAATTGCATTAATTATAACTTCTAATGCCAATATTCGCATTGCCAATGCGGAGTATTTATGCAATCAGCAATGCAGGAGATCTTGAGCTGGGCGCATCCTTGCCTCCTGTGGCTAGCGCAAATTTTCCACACATATTTCTAAACAACGCGTTTCGAGACTTCGCCACATGCGAGGATCATTTGGCGAGCAAATACCAAGACGGCAGGCGAAAATTCACTTTCACAGCAATTGCTCACTTCAACAATGTCTCGACCGACTGGCGATACACCACACTTGCGGCAAAGAACATTTTGTGTGTTCTGGACATTTTTGTCATTGCATTTAGCATCTGATACAGTGAGTCACGCCATGGGTAATACAATGATGACGTGTGATTACAGAAGGTATTAAAGTATCTAATGTGCTAGTGGTTGCTGGGAATCGCCCCGATCTGAAGCAGATTTCTTTGTATGTGCTGCTTGATTGCATTGCCACGCAGTGGAGGCGCACTTGAGCACATCGAAGGAGCTCCCAGCGGGTACGATGATCAGCCTCCTGCCCTCCCCAAAGGCATAGAGTTTGCTGGTTGACTCGTTTCTGTACGCTCTCCTCACGATTAGCCGAATAGTCTTCTTCACTACGGATTTCTTTGCCGCTGCTTCTGGAACACTAGCAAGTGCGAGCATCGTTCCACCGTCAGCAATATTATTCCAATGACCGCGCAAATGCCGCTAAAATTATGAAAGTGGAATCGCTAACAACTGGGAGAGCGTCACACGGTGGTTTCGCCCTTTGAATGTTGTCTACACTCGATAGCACAGGTTCATTCCACACATAGCACTTCCAATGCAATTCACTTTGGTTTTGGAAGCTATAAAGTTACAACATGTCTGAATGCCA